ACATGTTCCCATGTTGGATTGCCTTTTGTCTTTCCCAGAGTGCCATTGAGTCCCTGCTGGGCGCCTCCATGACAGGCATCGCTTATTCCCTGTTTGCTGGGCAGCCACTCACCATCCTGGGCAGCACAGGTCCGGTCCTGGTCTTCGAGAAGATCCTCTTCAAGTTCTGCAAGTCAGTGTCTGGCCGTCGGGCTCAGGACTGCGTTGTGTACTGGGGTGTCCAGCATGGTCCTGGAGAGCCTTAGTGTACCTGCTTCTTGCTCCAGCAGAACCGGGAGCGGCTTAATTGGATCAATCTATTCCTAAATTAGGAAGAGGTAACACTCTTTCCAGGTCTCTGTTCAGTGACCCTTTCAGCCTGTTCATAAAACCTGCAGGTCTGTGGCTCTTCAGGACCAGTTTAGACACGAATTAGGAGACTACCTCCTACTGTGTTTAAACACACAACTACCTGGTCTCCCTCTGCTGTCCTAATCCTCGCTCCCTGTCTCTCTGCTGCACAGAGACTATGGCCTCTCCTACCTGTCACTGCGCACCTGCATCGGGCTCTGGACTGCCTTCCTCTGCCTCATGCTGGTTGCCACGGACGCCAGCACACTGGTCTGCTACATCACGCGCTTCACAGAGGAGGCCTTCGCTGCCCTCATCTGCCTCATCTTCATCTATGAGTCCCTGGAGAAGCTGCTGCACCTGGGGGAACTCTACCCCATCAACATGCACTCCGACCTGGACAAGCTCACCCTCTACTAGTGAGGACGGCTCCTGTCTCGCTGTCCTACCTGTCTCTCTATGTCTCACAGTCCAGCTGTCCTACGTCTGTGTCTGTCTCACAGTCCAGCTGTGCTCTGTCCCTCTGTCTCAAAGTCCAGCTATCCTCTGTCTCACAGTCCAGCTGTCTTCTGTCTGTCTCCTCTGGATTGCTGTTTCTGATGCAGTCTCGTCCTGTGCCTGATGTCTTGCAGCTGTAAATGCACAGAGCCTGACAACCCCAGTAACCAAACTCTTCAGTACTGGAGCGAGAGGAACATCTCGGCCTCCTATGTGCCCTGGGCAAACCTCACTGTCACGGTAAGGCACAGAGCTCTAACATCACTAATGCTAACTCTAAGGACAATGAAATCCTAAAGAATTGATTGATTGACAATATCTGCAGGAGTGTCTGAAGCTCCAGGGAGAGTTCGTGGGGACAGCCTGTGGACACCACGGTCCCTACACCCCGGATGTCCTCTTCTGGTCTGCCATCCTCTTCTTCTCCACCTTTGCCCTGTCCACCTTCCTCAAGCAGTTCAAGACCAGTCGCTACTTCCCCACCCGGGTAAGATCTCTCGGGGCTCGTCTCAGACGGTGCTGGGAGTTCGGGTGTGACCTCCAGATGTCTGAGCCTTAACTGGGAATGACTTTTGCTGTTAGTGACTTGCAGAAGTGCTCAAATCCTGCTGCAGAGAGGCTCTGAAGGGTCCAAATGTGAGCTCTAAAGAGCAGATAGGGATTACTTACAATGCACATTAAAAACACAGCCAGCTCCTTGACCTCTGACCTCTGTATTGACCCCCCCACAACCAGCACTACTGTCGG